AGGGCTGACCTGGATCACATAGCTAAGCCAATGATAGAGCTAAGGCATCATCTCTCTCCCCAGGCCACTTGCATTCTTTTATTGGATTAGTCATTTGAGACATCTTGTAACAACATCTTTGCTAGATCTGGAGTAAGAGGGACAAACATGTAGACCAATTTGCTTTGGCAACACACTGCTGGATTAGAAATAATGTTGTTTCCGTGCACGTGAGCTACCTAGGGTTTGCTTTTTCGAATCTTTAAGCAAAGATCTCCAGTTAACTAATCTCATCATTAAGTAAGGAAAAAGAAAGTATTTCCAGTTACGTTACCTGCTTCTGCATCTTTTTATGAAAGCAGCATCAATGTGTTTTTTTCCTTTTCCATTACAGATGGTTTCTTAGATTTCTTGTAAGAAAAGTAGAGTAGAGGGAGTTGTTTGACAAGTTCAGATCTCTCTCTTCATTAAGGTGCTTTGGAGGACACATCATGCATCCTATTAGAGTATTTAATATGCTGGACAGATGAGTGGTGTGGAAGTGTATGTTGGTTTACCTTCTAGTAAGTAGTACACTAAATGTTATTTTGTAGCTTGCTGATAGTAGAAAGATGAAATATTTATTGGATAGATAATTTTATTTGCGCAAGATTTCTGAGGTACAGCTGCTGAGAGATCGTAAAAAAATGTGTTTGCTCTGTTCTAGTATAATTTATCACTGAAGTGAAAGAGATACTTGAATTGTGCAATGATAAAGGCATTACAATCATAGGGTATAAAAAGTTAACCCTTACAAGTGGGTAAGTTTTGGCTCTTACAAGTGGGTGAGTTTTCAAGCTGAATATTTTGAAGTGAGATACTGAAGACTTTGATATATTGGTGACTTGATGGATTCTTGAGACTGGTAGTGAATTTCAGACTGCAGTGAATTCAGCTGGTGCTTACCACTGCTTCAGGTGCTATATTCAGTGTTGAATTCAATTCAGTGTTGAATTGATGCTTCTTTGTGTTTCATTCATGTGCAGCATTACTGTACGCAGTTAAATTGCTGCTGCTACAGCAATATCCTGTTTGTGTTTTTTAAGAATGGAGCAAGCCCTGCCATGAAACAGATGTCATTGTAGTAAACACTGTGCAAATAGAGAGCAAAAAAAGGGCTCCTGCCTTGAAGAATTCTTTGTGTGGATTAGTAGCTTCAAACACAGCTGATGTTTCACTCCTGTCTGTTGCATCAGCACTTGGAAGTTGATGTTTGGATGTTTTGAGAAGAGGTGGAAAGGGAAAGATGGTACATCCTTAGCAGGTATCACTGCTTTTTGGCTTCTGATTGCATGTGCTAGTAGGCACAATGCAAGCCTGCCTTCCTATGGAGACTAAGGAATTAAGTGAAAAGCAGTCTGGATTGCAGTCTGCAAGACAGGAACCCCAAAACTTCTGCCTTCTGGCCACACTGGATGCTGCAACTTGGACTTGGAGACGCATGTACATCAGCATGGGTTCATAGGAGTACACAGGTACTTCCTGTGTGGAGGGAAATTGAGTGTATGGATCCAAACCCACCCTATCTGACACTTCACACAATCTCCAAACATTTGTTACAACAAAACATTTGTTTTTGTTTGGAATAAAACTGCAGATGATGTGAAAATAGATTGTTTGACCCAAACCTAAGTGCTTTTGGGTTCAGGATATTTTCTTTTCCTGAGCGTGTATAACTCTTCCTAACTCATAGAAATCTCATGTTTACATGAGTAGCTTACTGTCTCAATACACTTCTTTTTTTCCTCATAACTCCTCAGCACCCTTTTAAGTTGCTGTCAGTACACTGTTTTATGGCTTGAAATTATTTATTTCCGTTGAGAACTCTGCATTGTCCCTGTTTTCTTGGCTTCTAACACAGTACACTAGCACAAATTTTGCTAACAGGAATGTCCCTTGTTGAATGTGTTTATATCCTCTTGTGTTGTCTAATTTCATATTTCAAAACAAGAACTGAAATCTGAATCTCTTTTAAACCCTTAGCTGCAGTGAGCAGAGGAGTGTGTTTACTGTAAGGATTTAGGCAGTGACAAACAGTGTTTATATAAGCTTTTCCCCACCTTTAAGAACAGAAATACATTTTTTGGCATCATTTTTAATCCAGGCTCTCTTCACTTGTTGAAAGCTAGTCGCGATCACTGGGAAGTGGTTCCTGACAGAAGGTCTTCAAATGCATGAGCAAAATTGAACAGAATCTGTACATCTGGATCTAAAAAAAGCCCAAGAATTTATTTTTTATGTATTCCATCCCTCTGGGAACAGTGCACTGGTGTATATTTATCCCAGGCATGTACTCTGCAGGAGGCTTCCTTGGGCTAATATGCACTGGGAGGTGGCTCCTTCTGTTTCTCTTTCCTAAAATATTTTTAGCCTTTTCTCGGACTGCTGTGATTCAGCCTTCTTTTGTTTTAACTACATCTTCCTTTTTTTTTATTGTACAAACCAATACTAGGTATTCACATAATTAAAATCAGAAACCAGGAGAAATTTCTGCAGGTGTATTTCTAGACCAGTGGGCCTTGCTCACCCCAGTGTCCCACCCATGGCAGCTGGAGCTGTGAGGTGCCAGAGTAGGCGCTGAGTGTGATGGGTCAGTTAGTGAGGGTGCAGCTGGGGGAGTTCATGGTGCACAGCCTGGGGTGCAGCAGGTCCAGAGTTGTGAGCTGGGAGTCATTAAAGGTTACCATCACCTACTGAGGTATCTCTGCACAAGACCCTTCTCTTCACAAGGGATGTACACAAGGGGCTGCTCTCCAGCCCCAAATTCCCTGTCTTCTGTTCGCTGTAGGATGAATCATTGAACCTTCCACATCAAGAAATCTCTGTTCCAGCTCAGGGTTTTGCTCACACAGATAAAATATGAGAAGTGTAGATTATGGAAAGGTGTTTGGAGAAAGTTGGGGAATTTTTTGTTACTTAATCTGCTTTCAAAGCCATGAAAACTAATAACTTTTACTTGGATTTGCTAAACTAAGTATTGCAAACTTCAGTAGATGCTGAACAGCTTAAAAATGACATTTTAAAACAATTAATTCCTTCTTAAGTAGTAAACACATGGTTTGGGGTTTTTTTTCTCTGTGTTTAGGGAGAATTTTTTGACTGTCCTAAAATAAGATAATATCCCTCTATGGAGTTATTTTAAGATTAATAATATTACTAATAATTAAAAGCTTCATTTAAAAGCATTTGAAAAAAACAACTCAAGCAATAAAGTATGAGCTTTGTCATATATTGCTGACATCTGGTTATAGTCTGTCCAGGTTTTAAAAGAAATTCCACTACAGGACCAGTATGATCCATGTGCATTAATAGAGCAGTGTTAATGATTGTACCATACTTTCCCCACTGGATTCCTTCACTAATTATTAATTTTTCCCTTTTCTTTTAGTAGAAGAAAAAAAAAAAACAAAAAACCAAAACATAATATATCTAGTCTGGAGGGCAGTTGTGTTTGGTAATGTATGTTTTTTATTTATGTAAATTAATCTGAAGATTATACATGCTCCAGAGCTTACTTATGCTTTCAGCAGCTGATGCTGTGAATTTCAGTATTTCTTTTCCAGTTTGGTCATTTTAGAAATAACATCTAAAGCTATTCCCCACATCATAACTGAAGAGTTGTCGTGTTTATTTAACCAGCTACATCTGGCTTCCAGTAAGTCCCAAATTTCAGTTTTTCACAGCTGTGCATAGATTCCTGTCGTGCCCACAGAGCACAGAAAAATTTTTGCTAGGCCTAAATCTGTTGAAAGAAGTGTTCTTCTTGTAGGAGAAGGGATTAAGTGTTTTTCAGATCATACCCTACCTCACAGATTCCTTACTTCTTAGAGGACAACATACAGATCTTCTGGCGCAGTGTCACTGCCGGCACCCTGCATGTGGAAAAGGTTTTTCAGTGATATTTTTGATGGCTAGTTAGCAGAAGCAGCCAGTGCCAAGCTCTTAACCATCCCACTGTCATGCCATGGGAGCCAGGAAGGTGTGGAACACTGCCTCTGCCTCACAGCCCCCAGAGATGGACACTGCCCTTGGCCTTCAGGCAGCACGCTGTAGTCACATGTAAGAAGTGTAATCTGAAAGGAGAGTTACGACATTACAAATATTTACAGGAACAAAAATCTAGTGAGATGATAAAAGCTGTACTAGTCTGATTTGGTTTAGTTATATGAATAAAATAAGTAAGGCAAAGAAGTTGCTCTGTGGGAAATTAAGTCCAATATGAATGCCTTAAGATGGCTCTGCTTTGGGTAGGTCTGTTTTGGATGATACTTTGCTTTTGTAGGATGTGTGTGCCTTAATTAACTATTTGGAGAGGGAGGATTGTCAGTTCTGTAATTCTGCTTTTCTACTATGTTTTACAGCACTGTGTATGCATAAGGTTTGCTTGGGCATCTGTGACTTCAGGATAAACTTTTAGATTCTCTGGTAATCAGTAATTAGTTTTGGAATATCTCTGGTATAAAAGCAAAAACAGGTATTGACAAGATTTTGAAACATGTATTGACATATTTTGTGTATTAAGATATGTTTTTGACATTTCACAAGGATTGAGAAAAGGGATATTTCACATAGTCCAGTTCTTAACAAGGGTATTTTTCTGGTATTTGTGTAGGCTTAAATTGATCTGACTAGTTTTGTCGTGCTTTCACTTACTCTTCTACTGGTATAATGATAACATATTCTCTGAAGGACACCATCTGATTTTTAAGGTTGTAAAATAGGATGTTCTAGTAACTTTAGTATGCTTCAGCCTTAAAAAAGTGTTATTTTTTACACAGGATCCACTGGTTTGTGATTCTTCTTACATTAAAAAGCTTTTGTTTTATTGTCTTTCATTCATACGTATGTGTATGTACACCTGTAAATACACTGAGAATAAGTCTTACACAAATCCTTGTTGTTATTAAATCACTTGTTAAAGTTCAATACTCAAGTATACATGGTCCTCACAGTTCAACTGTTTCATTTTGTTCTTTACACAGGAGCCCTTACCAAAGTAAAGGAGAGTAAGCGGCACGTGGAAGAGGGGAAGATGGAGCTGCAAAAAGCTGAGGGCATTCAAGAACGTTGTAACATTATCTCCTTTGCAACCCTCGCAGAAATTAATCATTTCCACAAAATTCGTGTGAGGGACTTTAAATCACAAATGCAGCATTTCTTGCAACAGCAAATACTCTTTTTTCAAAAAGTGACACAAAAGCTAGAAGAAGCTCTTCACAAGTATGACAGTGTTTAGTCTCTGATCTGTGGACTTTGCTCAGCATGAACATGACCCAGGCAGCAGAGCAAATGCTGCTGAAGAGCTGTTGCCAGTGGTAGATGGCGGTACAAGGATGGGTTTGTGTTCATCTGGAGCCCAGGTTTAATCTCCCATTATGTAGAAAGGAAACAGTTATAGGGCTATGTAGTAGAAACCGTACCACGCATTGTAACTAAGTTATACTGTGTATGCCTACACCATTGTAACTTTTTGAAATAATGAATATACTATTTGCCTTATTGCTTTTTGAAATACAGTATCTTAGTGCATACTTCATAGACCTCAAAGCCCTCTGGGTATTTAAGGAAGTTGGCTAGATAAATGCCTTCTTCAGATGCCTTTTTACTTTCCTAGATCTGGATTTCCTAAATTCAAACAATTCTCTGTTTACAGACTCCTACTAGAGCAGCTATGTGATTCTGTGCCTTTAGACTCTATTTTTCCTTTTCTAGTAAGTCACATTTTTATGATTAAATGAATGAAGGGTTGGTGCCTATGATGGGAACTGATGATGAAACCTCACATTGACTGGAAAAAAATCAGCTGCCATCCAGTTTGCGTAGCAAGTACTTTCTTAGGACAAATGTTGGCTCAAAAGGGAAAAGTTAAATTTATTCACACTTTCCCTGGAAATTGAGACTACTTGTTAAATGTACTAGGTTGTTAAGCACATGTACAAAAATACACCACTTAACTCCCTTTCTGAAAGAAATAATACAGTAAGGGGTGAGGTTTTGTTTTTGTTGGATTTTTTGGGTTTTTGTTTTGTTTTGGTGGTTTTTTGTTGTTGTTTTTTGGGGGGTTTTTTGTATACAGCATTACTGTAAGTGGAAATTTGAAGAGCTAGCCTAATAAAAATTGCATATATCAAGGGGATATTAATGCAAGCTATATGGCTGCAACTTTTTTTTAAAGTTTCAAATTATTTGCTCTTTGTTCAGTTGCTGATTCAGTTTAACTTCAGACTTGCATCTGCACTGCCAGTTGTCTGAGTTTAAACTCCACTGTGATTCATTAGTTTACTAAGTTGAAAGTTTTTGGGGATTATCAGTAAATAAATTATCTGAAGGCTTGGCTGAACTGACTTGGAAAACAGGTGGCATTTTTATGTTTGTAACGCTCAAGAATTAACAATTGTCTTAATTTTTGTATAAATATTTTTGACAAGCAGGGTGCATTTATAGATGTGTAAACACTACCTTTTAAAGAGGTTTATGGCTTATTTCCCTTGAATTAAGTCTGTATTCTTACCTATTGATTTCCTTCTTATAGGTCAGTATGAAAAAGGGTTTTTATTTATCCTATCTTTTTTTCTCATGAACAAAAATAACAAAACTTTGTGAGGAAGCAAAATGTTTATTTTTTTGTTTAATTGAATTAGTCAAAAATAGCTTAAACAAATGAAAGCCTGGAAAAGGAAGTTGAGCAACAGTTACAGTTAAGTAGAAATCATTCCTCACCTATGCAGCAGAAATGTGCAGTTCTTTCACACGATCATGCGAGGTTTTGTAGTTTAACCCCAGACCTCTGTTTCAGAGGAATAACACTTAAGAATGTAGTTTTGGTTCTACGATTCATCCCCAAATGTTTGGAGATGGCTGTTTTGCACAAGCTGTGTTTGGCAGTGCTTCTAGTACACACACAACGCAGTAAAATACAGAATTATGAAGAGGGGAAAGCACGTATTTGTAAAAGGACAATCAGTGAGGAAAGACTCCATTTCCAGCCTGTTGAAACATTATTATCTTGTTCTGCAAACAAGATTGACCGTAAAATAAGGACCACAGTCACAGGGCTGACTTGCTTTTTACCTTCCTTATGGTGTCTCATTCTACATTCAAAACTTACCACTTCCCTTAAGAGCTCTTCCCAGCAGTACTCCTGCTTTCCCATATGTCATTTAATTATGTGACAGAGTGATGAACTAGGTTTGAGCTGAGTTCCATGGCTGATGTTTGCTTAAGCCAGATACTGTTTTAGTAAATGTCTTTACAGTAATTAGATCAGACTATAATCAAGCTGATTCTACATGGAGGTATTAAGACCTGTTCAGAAATTGATCTTGGTTCAGTAGAAGTATTTTAGGAGGTTAGTATTAATGACATGTTCATGTCTGGGAGGAAATTAAGCTGTGATATGTATTCATACAACATTATCAGACAGGTACAGTTTTCCCTAATAAACTGTCATGGCCTTCACCTTACTTTCTCATTTGTGAATTTATTTGGGCACAGAAAAAGTGAGTGTAGTAATTGGTTAAATTTGATGTACCAGAAAATCTTGGCTGGGATCCTGGTTTAAATTGTTGCAGAGTACAGAAGTTCAAGTCTACATCTATATTAGCATTTTTGTTATTTTCCTCAGTCATTATAGAGTTGAAGTTGAACTGGCTGATGGGTGGAGCACAAGGAGTTACGGTAAAGGATGTTGCATCAGGCTGGTGACTGTGGGGTTCCACAGAGCTCAATCTCAGGCCCTATGCTCTTCACTGTCTTCATAAATCACTTGGACACAGAACCCAAAGGGGTACTAAGTTTGATGATGAGGCTAAACTGGGAATGACTGTGGACACCCTTAAAGGCAGAGAAGCTCCACAGAGAGATGGACAAATCAGAGGGCCAGGCAATCACCAACTATATGAAGTTCAACAAGGACTGGTGCCAGATTCTGCACCTGGGATGGGGCAGCCCTGGATGTACAGACAGACTGGGGAATGAGAGGCTGGGCAGCAGTGCCATGGAAAGGGCCCTGGGCTTCTGGTCCATGGCAAGCTGAACATGAGCCAGCAGTGCCCTGGTAGCCAGGAGGGCCAAGCGTGTCCTGGGGGCATCAGGGACAGCATGGCCAGCCGGGCAAGGGAGGGGATTGTCCTGCTCTGCTCTGAGCTGGGGCGGCCTGACCTCCAGTGCTGGGAGCACTTTTGGGTGCCACAGTATCAGACATTAAACTACTGGAGAACATCCAGAGGAGGGCCATGAGGATGTTGAGGGTTCTGGAGGGGAAGCCTGATGAGGAACAGCTGAGGTCACTTGGTCTGTCCAGCCTGGAGAAGAGGAGACTGAGGGGAGACTTTGCTGTGCTTTTCAACATCCTCATGAGGGGAAGAGGAGGGGCAGGCACTGATCTCATCTCTGTGGTGACCAGTGACAGGTCTCAAGGAAATGGCCTGAATTTGTGTCAGGTGAGGTTTAGTTGGATATCAGGAAAGGGTTCTTCATCCAGATGGTTTTTGGGCACTAGAACAGGCTCCTGAGGGAAGTGGTCCAAGCACCAAGCCAGGCAGAGTTCAAGAAGCGTTTGGACAATGCTCCAGCGTATGGTGTGTCTCGGGGATTCCTGTCTGGAGTTGGTTTCCTTGGGGTCAGGAGTTGGACGTAATGATCCTAATGAGTGTCTTCCAGCTCAACATATTCTATGAGTTTATGGTGTAGGGTGCCTGAACTCCATTAATGCTTGCTGCACTATATAAGAACTACAATATTAATTGTATTTGGACCAAGTATGACATTGACCACTTACGACCACGTATGACTGACTACTGAGTGGTGTGGTCTGGGATCCAAGTGTACTCTACAGTAATGTGAATGTATATTGTGTGGGACTATGGAAGCACCAAAGGAAATCTAACAAATAAATAAATGTGAAAGAAAGCAAATTTGCTCTACATCATGAACACTTTTGTTTCATGTGATTCGTGTAATTTGTTTTCAGTTCATCACAGTTTTTGTGTTGTTTTTAGCATACTAAAAATTGTTAGATATTTGATTGCTATCCCTTTTCTTTTGTGATATTTGCAGAAGAGAGTTACCCCTATGATTTGTGCATGTTCTCTACGTTCTTGTTGCAAATAAAATTTGCTTGGTTTTAAAAAATTTTATTCAGCTGCCTGCACTGAAAATACCTACATTGCTTGGTGAGGCACAGGTATCTTTTTGGTGAATCACAACATCTGATTGGCAGTACTTGATTATTTTGCCAGACCTTCACCATTCCAGCTACCATCTTCCGTGCTGGTTCCCTGCTGCAACCTGAATTCTTCTGGGAAGCTTAAGTGGGAATTGCTCAGCTATTTCTCAAAAGGAGTTCATTAAAACATTTTAAAAGGATGTTTTATTTTTAAATTCTGTAAACAATTTGGCTAGAAATCTTTAGTTCTTTCATATTTTGGAGAAAGGACTTGATATTTGGCAGCGTTGTTATCTTTCACAACCTTAGATGTGCTTTCTGCACAGCCTGGGAAAATTTGTCCATCTATTTCCAAGTTATACTAAAATTTCTCTGGGCCCAGCTCTGCTCAATTTTGACAGATATATTTTCTGTAACTCCCCTTTGCTCCAAGCAATCTTGATTCAAACCTTATTCAGCAGCAGCTAAGTGAGACTTTGTCTGTAATCCTTTTCCCCTTCATTCAGAGGGGGCTGAACCTCTGAGACCACAAGCTGAGCAAAGAAGCTGTCGATAGGTGCTGCCGGCTTTGTAGGCCTGGCCGCGGGAGAAGTGGAGCAGCAGCCTGGGACAAGTTTGGTGTTGTGCCTGGCCACTACAAGAAGGTGGATGTCAGAGATAGCTGAAGAAAAACAGGAAGATAAGAAAATAGTGAAGAAAGAAAGCCCTGTGACTACAAAAACCTGTTCCTCCAGTACCTAATTAATACCTTGGGCTTCTAAAGCATCCGTGGCCTTTTGCTGTTTCTAAATAGCCATCATGAGCAGGCAGAAAATGGGCAACTTTAGTTCTGCTCATGTGAGGACGGCAATGCTTTTTTTCCGTCACTAGAAGTTACTTTCTTTGCTTGATGAAAAATGTTACTTTCTATGTTTGATGGGCAGTTGAAAACTGTTGAAGAACTGTAGGTTTCAGGGCTGAAGGAAATGCCATAGTTCAGGCCCAGTCAGGCAGCCTTTTTTCTTGGGAAGAGGAAATCAACTTGGGAAATTGTGCGCATAAAAATTCCTGTATTAAAGAATTCTAAGATTAATCATTCAGTTAAAAAAAAAAAAAAAAAAAAAAAAAAAAGAAAAATTTAAAAATCTTTCTTATGGTAACTAGTATATCAAGACACCTCATGAGACATGGTCAAAGAACTTTTTGCACTGTTTCCCTTCCTGATTAAGTGCGCATGATATAAAGCATTGTCTTAATCAGCTTAAGGTCTTTCAGAGAGTTTGTTGTCTGGCTAATCCTTACTTCTTTTGCAGCATCAGTTGTACTCTGCACAGTGAGAAAGACTAGCAGAGTGAAGATCAGGTAGGGGTGACTGTCAGCTTGCAGAATGGTGTTCAGAGAACTCGACTTTGTCCCTGTCTCTACCCAGGCTCTGTGCAATATAAGCCATGTGAGATAAATCATTTATATGCTCTACATTTTGTGTAGGCTTAAGTTTAAACCCAGGAGTTACACTGAATAAGGTGCTGGGAATTCACAATTTTCACTGAAGGTTATGCACATTCTGCTTTGGATAAAGGAAATGCTTCAAATGCAAAGTTGTCTGGAAAAAAAATAATCAGGTATTCATTTCTTTAGGTAGACCAGCACAAGTTGGAGAACATTTGTAATCCATTAGCAGCAAAAGAGGAATAGTAGGCCCAGATCATATTGTTGGAATGTTGCCAGTGTAAGTATAAACTCCTTGAAATTAGTTTTCAGATACTGATTTATTTTTTAAAAAAATTCCACCTGATAAAATTAATATATTGTCTTCAGAATGAAGTGTGACTGTTATTTAGGAAATAAGGGATGGGCCCACATGTTGAGTAGCGAGTATTCTCACTCAGATACTGTTCACTCCGTGAATGGAATGATAAAGGCTTTCTGAGATGAATCATAGAGTGATCATGTCACTGGAGCACATTTTGGATGTATATTCACAGGAAAGCAGAATTAGCCACATGGGCTGACTTACTTCTGGCATTTCTTAAGGCTTGAGATGATGTTTTTTAATTCAATAATTTCTCAATGTTACACAGTGCAGTACAGTATGTGTTGCACATAGAAAAGTAAATTATGTAATATATGTAAGTAATATAATTTCAATATACTTCAGTCTCATGCAGTTGGCAGCAAAGCTCAGGCATGACCTGAGTTAATTTAAATACAAATTAATAATAGATATAGTAAAACTTAATTTTCTAAAGTTAAAAGGCATCTCCTGTACTGACTGACTGATAGACTTGCCACTTAATTTGGTTCCACTTTGAAATCAATGGGATTTTTTTTGCTTGACTCCACTGGGAAGGATATCAGGCTCAGTGGGTTGAAATTACATCCCTCCATCAACCCAGAAGTGTTCAGCCCAGACTATTCCCCTTGTGTGCTCCTTTACAACTGAATCTAACATACAGAATTTTGAAGTTGCCTGTCAAAAAGCTCTATCCTGCAATTTTAATCAAAACCATTCCCTGTTTTGGGGAGTGTAACATTATAATTTGAAATAAAGAATGGTACTGCTTTTGGTTTTAAAAGACATTTTCAAGGAGCATGAAAACCTGTGAGAAGATAAAATCAGGAATCTTGAATTTCATCTTTTCTCTCTTGAGTGTTTTAACTGGCATTAACTATTTTTTTAATGGAGAAAATAATGCTGCACAGGAGGAACATCACATATATACATTAAAAATTTTAGAGCTCAGTGAGACAGTACAGTTTTATTTGCAACGAGTTAAGGTGACTATTTCTGTTGGTACACCCCATGCTGTTTTTAAAGATCTCTTTGGAAAAAAACTAGAGTCAGTTCTTTAATTAAATGTGAAGATGGTGAAATAATGTTATAAGAGTATCCTGCCTTTGATTTCTAGTCACTAGCCCTCACTAAGTGTTGCAGGAGACATTTAGTTCCTTCGCAGTCCTTGCGGGGCACTTGGCTGAGTCCCTATCCTGCAGGAGGCTGCCGTACCCATCACCTCCATCCCAATGCTTCCTAAGGTGACTGGGGAAAGAGCTGCAAACAGCAGTTCATTTTCACAGGCAATTTCTGGTTACAAACACATGAACAATGTTGCAAAACAGCACTTGCAAAATCATAATTGTCAGAGTCCCCCAGTGCTATCCTGGCAGGGTGCTGCCACATTCAGTATTTTTCATTTTGCTTTGTTTAGAGAAGTGTTGCGTGCAAGATGACTACCCCAATTTTTAAATCAAAGGAATTTAGGACCATGGAGCTGATTCGATTGCTGTGTCAAAAATCTGTGCCAGTGCTTATCTATCAAGGGTAGATTTCATTTCATATAATTTTAAGAAATATAGAAAGAGTTTTTCAGAACTTTAGTAAGCGTTGGGAAAACCTTGTTTGCTTGCATCATTGTTCAGGATCTGTGAAGCAAGTTCATCAGAGGTAAGGTCCCTGCTGTCAGTGTGGTTTTGCTTTGTGCCCATGGGTAGTTGCTGTGTAGAAACAGTCTGTCCAATAGATTAATGCAAACCTGACTGAATGTGCTAATGAAGAATTGCTAGTTGGTAAGAAAAGCATGCCTTCTCAAGCTCAATTACCTTCTCTGGGAGAGGCTTTCGTTTCAAACATGTAGTGTAGTCAGTTTCTTTTATTTTCCTTGCTGCTGTCTCTGTGGGAGTCACTTGTGAATAAGCATGGACAGCTGCTCTCAGACAGATCAGACTGTTCCATAAGCAATATCCATTCAGAAGCTGTAGATGAAAGGCAGCTGTATCTCTGCTTTAGGGTAAATAGTCTGGCAAGGCACCTTTAAGCTCTGAGTGACATGAAAGTCAGATGTAAAAACGAAGTTATGATGATACATGTTAAACCCACATGCATAAGGATGTGGCCAATGCATCATCCTGCAGTGGTGAGCAGCCCAGTGGTGAGCTTTTTCTATTCTGCTGGTCTTTTTCCCCAGGTGGTTGTCAGCAACAACACTTTGGTCTCGCAGTGTCTCAAATAGGTAAGTTTCTGGGCTCTGCTGTCCATACCCCCACAGCGCATGCAGTGACAAGGAAGTGTGTCTCAGTTCAAGAACCCATTGCTCACTCTTTGAACCGCAGTTAAGGAGCATATTTGGTTGAAGAAGTTGAGCAATATGAATCCCTGTGCTTGGGAGTGGGGAGGAAAGAATTTTAACTGCTCACGGTAGTAATCGGATAAAGGGCAGACTCTGCACCTTGCAACATTGTTCAGTGTATCAGTGTGGTAAGGAAAGCCTGTCTGGAACTTGTTAGGGCAGGAAGATGAGAAGGAAGGGGGAAATAATTCTCTTTCCTCACAGCCCAAGTGCAGACTGTGGAGCTGTTTGTTGACAGCCAAAGAGAGAAGCTGAAAGATGCTGCAGGTTTCCCTTTGGGTCATTCTGAATCATGAATGCCCAGTGGGTGAAGTATCCTGCAGAAGGCAGTTGTGGCTATTTTCTCTTTAGAATCATTATTTCTTGGTCTAAAATATAGGAGCAGCCCCACCAGGAGGAACCTCTGACAGTAAATGCTCAAATGGCTTCAAGGTCATCTCACAACCTCCCTTGCATTCTTCTGCACTTGGAGACAGCAAGGAAAGGACAAGCCTTAGCTCACGCTTATCACAGATGCTTGTTCCTGAGACATATGTTCCTGGATCTCTGAGGCCAAAGGAGCATGGGTGAAGCTATTTCACTGCTATCCAGGACATTGTGCAAGAGGCAGACATTCACACTGGCATCACTCAGGGCTCAGCATTATCTTGTTCCTTAGTAGGACTTAGGTGGACACTATAGGTGCCCACCTCCCAAAGAGAAGTCTGGGATGTTAGTCCCCAGGCTATAAAAGCTTTTATTTGAAGCTGTACAGGAAGGACATAAGCTCTCAAAGGGCTGTATGCTCATTACCCCACTGCTCATTCCATCCTCTGACTACTTCTATATGTTCTTTTGCTTCTCCTCCTGGGAAATGTGTA